GGGGGGGGAAGAGCAATCCACAAATGTCATCTCCAGCGGATCTTCGAATGTCTCGACGGTAGCATTTTTGTCTTCCACGCCCGTCGGCAACTGTGGAGACAGCCCTTCGCTTGATGAAGACGAACGAGCCTCAGGGACCGTAGGGCTCGTTCGCCTGTCACTGGAGGTCCGACTCTCCTGCGGCAGTAGCTTTTCTTCTATATCCAATTCCATTTCCATATTATTTGATCCTTGGTTTGTTGTTCGGGGTGTCCTTCCCCTAGGACGACTGGCTTCACTGCGCCTATGAGCTCGCCCCGCCCATTCCAAAGTCAAAAAGCCATCCAAAAGCAAATCATCCGGATTGTCCAGTGGTACAGCCAAAGTCGTCATATTATCCACATTAGGAGCGGGTGGAGACAGAGACCACCTTCCAGAGTCTTCAAACCCCCTACTCATTAATGCTTTTCCACTCTGTACATGGTCCCTGTACTTTAGAGATGTCAAAGGGGCAAACATCTCTCTGGTTCTTATGTGATCCTCGACAGGTTCATCTTCTGATATGTATTCCTTTAAATAGTTTATTTTGTCCTGTAGATCCTTAATCTGTTCATCCTGTCTATTTACTTTAAGTAGAATATATTTCCTAGCCGAGTTTAACTTGTTAATAACTGTTGAAAGATCATTTACATATGTAAGAATTGTGTCTATTGCCAGATGCATCCCTCCTGTTGAAAAAGTATTTTCGTTGTCCATCTCTAACAAGGTCCTCAAAACTCCAGCGATATCCTCCGGTGTATCGCTAATGATAGACAGAGTCTCCCGATTCCCCGGATTACACTTGTTTAGGGGTATCTCCAAAGTCCCAGCAGCTTTGGCAGGTTTACCATAAGGCATGTCAGTATCCTCCCCTTCTCCTTTAGTTAGCCCTAAATATGATGACGACGGGAGAGAGTCAGGGACTAGAACTCTCCTCTCGCCGAGATCTGGGGATTCCGAGTTCCCTTGGTCTAGTACGTTTAGATTATTTATTCCTTTATCCATATTTATTTATTAATTTATTTACTTATCCTACCTTAATTACTTAATATCTTGATCCTTAAGCCGTTATATCAAATTTTACGCTCTAATATGTATTTATTTCAAAACTAGTTGTTTGAGGTCAATCTAGGGACATCCCCAGAAAATCCCCAGACACAGAATTCGCAAGATTACGGAAAATTTACAGTTGAAGGGTATTAACCCGTCTGCATACAGTTCATGGTATTAACGACGCGCATCAGTACATCAGAGTTTGTCCGGGGAATATCCCCATTTAGTAGTTCGGTTCCGAAACTAGCAGCAGGCCAACCCCAGACTCCCTAGCCTGATGGACTAGTAAGTCTAGGGAGGGCCTGCTACGATTGACATTCGCTTGCAATATGTCAATGCGCATCTACGTCCATTTGCGTCGCCCCTTGAGAGGGATTTGGTGCCTCGCCGGTTCTTCCGAATCTGTTTAGACCGGCCGTTCTAAAACTTGCCCTACTCTTGACAGTTCTATGTTCCGCAGTGCAGAGATTTGATCCTATTCTATGATTAGGGTTTTTACCCTCCGATAGGCAGATCTTGCAAGATGACGGGAGGTTGCAGTCTCTGGCCGCATGACCCGGCCCACCGCACTTAAAGCACAATCTGCTGTAGTCCTCCTCAGCTGTGCATGTGAGTCTAACATGACCAAACCTCCAACACTTAAAGCATTGGACTGGCCTGGCATCCAGCAGGTCCACCCTAGCTATTGTCCATCCTATTCTAACTTTCTTACTGTTAGCTGTCTTGATTGCCGCACTTAACGGGCATTGCGCCCAGACAGTAAATAAACCGTTGTTCATGGGGCGGATTGTTCCTACCTTGATTTCCTCCTCTTTGCATCCACCGTATTGGGTTACGACGCAAGCGACCTCGTTTTCTGAGATAGAGTCGTCCAATCCGACTAGTCGAATTTCACCCTTTACTATGGGTCTGGCTACCTTTGCCTGATCTTGCAGAACATTCCGTAGTTTTTCGGCGAGAGCATTGGCCCTATCAGATCCATTGGGGCCTAGGATCTCTATGATCATGCCCCCGTTTGCCGCTTTCCTAATTTTTGACTTGTCTATTTCTATTTTTTGAATTGTCTAATTCATTTAGTGAAATAGCCTCGCGCGCTTTTTTTTTAAGTACTCCTGCATATGAAAGATCATTGTCCCATTTGGTGATCATAACCGCAGCGGTCTTGGGAGGTCTACGGGTTGTTTTCGCAGGTCTCAAGCCGCTCGCGTTACCGGTGACTACCTTTTGGGACGGGTTTCTCTCTTGTTCCTTTTTTTTCCCTCCAAAGTTCCTCCCTTTGTTTCTCCTAGCAACTTCTTTCCATTCATCCCTTGTGCTGTCTCCTCCATCGCCCTCTCTCTCTGATGTATTCTTGTCCATGTTTCTGTTCCTATTCCTAGCTTCCTGACCAGTTTTTGGGGGAACTACCTGAATGTTCGAAGTGATTCTAGGTCTCACTCTAAGGGTGCGTATTTCTATTTTTTGAATTGTCTAATTCATTTAGTGAAATAGCCTCGCGCGCTTTTTTTTTAAGTACTCCTGCATATGAAAGATCATTGTCCCATTTGGTGATCATAACCGCAGCGGTCTTGGGAGGTCTACGGGTTGTTTTCGCAGGTCTCAAGCCGCTCGCGTTACCGGTGACTACCTTTTGGGACGGGTTTCTCTCTTGTTCCTTTTTCCCTCCAAAGTTCCTCCCTTTGTTTCTCCTGGCAAATTCTTTCCATTCATCCCTTGTGCTGTCTCCTCCATCGCCCTCTCTCTCTGATGTATTCTTGTCCATGTTTCTGTTCCTATTCCTAGCTTCCTGACCAGTTTTTGGGGGAACTATCTGAATGTTCGAAGTGATTCTAGGTCTCACTCTAGGGGTGCGCTGGGGCAAGGGTTTTTCTTTACCTCTTCGCACCTCACTTCCCGTCTTACTGTCTTCGGTCTTTCCCTTCTTCCTAATCTCGGCTCTTTTCCTGATCCAGTCCTTAGTCTGTTTACGTGTATCCACAACTGTGTTTTGTTCTTTACCTTTCTCTTTTTCTTTTTCAGGTTCCAGGGTTTGTGCGTGTCCAGGCTTTCCAATTTCCTCGTGTTGATGTTCAGCTGTGTGGTCACCAATTAGCCTGTTTCTAGTGGGAGATAAGTATACTTTTTCTTGGTAAGTATTTTTGTCCAGTTCGTCTCCTTCTAATTTCTGTCCTCTTTTTTTTCATCTTCCATTCTGCAATCCTTTGGCTTGCCCTAGCTTTTTTCTGTCTTCCTCTGCTTCATCTAACTTGTCCTTCAATTCGAGTACTTCCTTCCTGAGTTCCTCAATGAGGCTTCTCATTTCCTCCATCTCCTTTTTTTCTCAAAATTTCTTCTCTTTTGAGCTTCTCCACTTGTGCGGCTAGTTCTTTATTTCTGAGCTTAAGATGGGACGGGTCCCCTGTTGCTTCCGCCTTAAATATCAAGGTGTTGATAGTCTCTTTGGCCCTTTCGGGGTCTTTCCTTATTTTACCGCTGATTCCTCCCTGCAAATTTTGCTTTTCGCGCGCATGCGTTCCACATTCGCAATGCAGTCCAGTCCTAAAGAGCCAACGCCTACCGCCCCCATTATTTTCAGGTCCTGTGGCGCGAAGTCCAATCCAGCTTCTTCGTCCTCCGAGGAAATCAGGATCTTTTCAATCCTGCTTTTAGCTTTGAGACTCTTTTTGGGAGCTTTCTTCTTTGCTTCTTTGATTGTGGAGTCCAACTTGGAGCTTCTATCGGTGTCCGTGGACAGCCGATTTGAAGATAATTTTTCAGCGACATCTATCCACGGTCTCTTTTTCCTAGGATTTCTTACCTTTTTAGGAGTTGCGGGTGATGTTTCCCTTGAGCCTACTTCACCTTCCCGTTCTTCCTCACTTGGCGTTATTGTATCCGGAGAGATAAGGGCCTTCCTTTTGGCCTTAGTCTCAGTTACCGCTAACGTTGTACCCCTAGTTAGTGGAGTCCCCACGATACCCTCTCCGACTGTTCCAGGTTGTTGAAATTCTCCTCCTCCTATCGGAGAGGTAAGGCAGTCTACGAATGCAGCCTCCAAGGGGTCTCTTGAGTCTTCCTCCCGGCCAATGAGAATCAGTGTTTCTGCGGCGGTAACTTCTTTATTCTCCTCGCCCGTCGTCAACGAAGGAAAAGGCCCTGCGCTTGATGGAGACCGGTGAGTTCCAGGGACCATAGAACTCACAGGCCTGCCACTGGGACTCCGAAACCCCTGTGACGGTACGGTATCTTTATTTTTCGTGCTCATGTCCATGTTTGTTTCCAATTGTGTTTGGTTTATTATTCGGGGTGGCTTTCCCCTAGAACGACTGGTTTCACCGCACCTACGAGCTCGTCCTGCCCGATCATTTTTTTCCCTCACCATCGCTAGTGTTTCCAAACGGCATCAGATTTATGAGGGCTGCTTCAGTCGCAACGTCCAACTCCAACAGCTCCACAGACTTTTCCATGATCTTATCTTCGAGCCTTTCTGTTTGTTTCTGCAACCAGTCCACTTCCATGGTCGGTGCACTTAGTCCTTCGGCTTGTTCTTTCATCGTTAAATTAGTATCCGGATCCCAGGTATCGTCAGAATCCCCTCGTAAAACGCTGGCAGGTCTTACTGCTGGGTTTTCATTGTTATTAAGAAGATTCTCATCTATATTCTTCTGAGTCCTTAATTGAGAACCCAGAGTCTCTATCTCCGACCGTAGAGCGCAAATCTGTTCGTCCTGGCCATTCAGTTTTGCTAGTATATAGCTCCGAGCATATTCCAGCTTGTTAACTGTTAAGGCGAGTTCTCCGATACAGCTAGTAACAAGATTTACTGCTGAACGGACTTTATCCCTATAAGCTAGGGGAACGTGATCCTCTAGGGATACTGCTGTCTCGATGGCTCTAATATAGATATCCATAGCGTCGATTCCTTGTTTGGGCGGTGTCTTTTTTATTGCCACAGAGGATAACATCTCTCTCGAAGGTCGGTATCCTGATGTGTTTCCGCTACGCAAAACATCCCTAGATATATAAGGCCCGACGCTTGATGACGACGCGGGAGAATCAGGGACCATAACTCCCCTCGCGCCGAGCTCTGGGAGATCCGAGCTTCCCTGAGTTGGTAATTCCTTACACTTATTTTTTTTCATTCATTATGCGATGACCGAATATACAATTTATCGAGCTCGGTCGGGCCCGGGGGCGTGGTGGTGAGGCCGCGCAACAGGCCGACGTATTAGAGCGCATAGGTGAGCTCCATTATGTTCAGAGCTCAGTTGTTCCTTTGCTCCAGTCGCATCAGATTTTTGTTAATGCTAATATTATATTATTCGACTTATATCTAAAGAAACCGCAAAAAACTCTGCAAACCACTAGATACCACCAGAATCTAGGTATCCCAGTTTATTCTGTTATATACATAAATTATTCCCGAGTTCATAATAACAAAGGATGTAAAATCCTGTTTTATCCATTTAAAACCGTTATGTCATTCACGGCGTTGTTAAACCAATTTTTAGTAATTCCCAGATTCTAGTGGAAAATTCCCAGATTCGGTGACTACTATCAATTTCTTAGGATGTTTCCTATCTATACTTTTTACTTCAATGATTGTCTCGGCGAATAATGTTGTTTCGCCTCTATTCATTACCGAGAGCGTGGTTCATGCTCAAAAGGTCGGGTTCGCGTTTATATTGACAGGTGAGCATTAACAGTGTGTTATTATACCCGCGATTACTCATTCCAAACGTTTACGACAAGCAATAATTGTCATTGTTTTACGTAATAATATACAATCTATTGCAGGTCTTTATCCAAAAGTGAGAGTGAAATAACCTCTCGTTTCCGCGCGTCCCGTCAAAACATAACCTTATCAGTCGACGCATGGGGAAACCTCCCAATTCTAATACTACTGAATGAGTGCGTGCATCTCGGCGAGTAGCTCCCAACCGCACCTATTCTACCCCCGAGGGAATCCATGTTCAAATGATCGTCAAGTTCGATTTTACTTTAACAGGTAAGTATCATCAGTGTGTCAGGATGTATATAATTACTATCGCTCATCCAACTATTGGCAAGCAGGCAAATGTCCACTCATAATAGCACGTAATGTATTTATATTTATACATATGTATTGCAGGTTTTCTGTCCATAGATGCCCAAGGATAGATCGGCCTTCAATCTTTTAAACGCCTCACCGAGACACAGCCTTATTAGACGGCACTCAGAGAAAGCATAATCCTAGTCACCTCTTTACGCAGACACCGCATGTGTATGCTTATTTACGCAGCACTAACAATTGTACGTACCAAACAGCCGTGGTGTGCCGCAGTATCCCTCTCTGTATGGCTCACGTAAAATAGCCACATCAATCGGGTATATCAGGTATTATATATTTATTCATTCATTATCATCATCATGTATTATAATAAAATTATTCAAGATTAATTAATAATAATAATAATAATTACTTAAAT